CTCCCTGCTCCGCGGGAAGCCTGCTTCTCCCTCTCCCACTCCCCCTGCTTGTGTTCCCTCTCTCACTGCGTCTCTCTCTGTCAAATAAATAAATAAAATCTTTAAAAATAAATAAATAAATAAACTACCTCTGAAACTAATAATACACTATATGTTAATTAATTGAATTTAAATGAAATAAAATTAAAATTTAAAAAAAAGAAAGAAAGAAATGTGAAGCTCAAGCAAAGACTATTGTTTCAAGGAGAAAACTAGTAGAAATGAGACTCAGATGGCTGTTGTCAGAACCATTGCTTATGCCTGCAGTTTAGATGAAGTGTGTTGTCTCCTTTGGATTTTGTTTTGTGTTTCATTCCACGGCTATGCTTGAGAGAACTGTCATGACTAACCCTGGCTGAGCACTTACTTTGTGCCAGGCACTGTTCTCAGCACCTACCATGTATTCACTCACTTAATCCCCATAACAACCCTAGGAGATAGTATCTATTATTATGCCCTTTTTATAGATGAAGAAAGTGAGGTACAGAGGTTAAACAATTTGCCCAAGATCACACGGCTTACAGAGGGCAGAAACAGGATTCCAATCCAGGCAGTCTGACCCCCCAGGGGCTTAACAACTAACTATATCCTACCACCTCTGTGGAAGTAAGAAAATAAAATGATGAAATGCCCAGCACAGAAGATTCCAGCAATCCATGCCATCTTCATGGGGAGGAAAATGTAACCAGCAGACCCTGGGTCATTTCACCACAAAATCCAACACAGAGCTGAGAAAGACCGAAGTAGTAAGATAACAACGAGATGATGTATCTGTGTCTCCCAAGTCCTCAACTAGGTTGAGTTCCTCTTGAAGCTGGTTCTGGGGTCAACCCAGGAAGGTCAGAATTGGTGAGGGATCCAGGCCTGATAAGGGCTGGAGTGGGAGCTCAGTCTTCTCTGCAAGGAGGAGGCTAAGAGGCCCCAGCAGAGTCTGAGGAATGTGAGCACATACCTGCTCATATCTCATCCTTTCTCAACATCTCTAGAAGGCAGGTATTGTTGTACCTATTGCCACCTAAGGGAGGCAAGGAGGTTAAGTGATTTGCTCAGGATCACACAGCTAGTAAATGGCAGAGCTAGGATTGTTCCTAGAGCTATTCCTCTCATTCTACCACAAAAGCTCTCCCCAAACCTCTCTCAGCATAAGGATTGCCTGGGATGCATGCTAAAATTCTTTTTTGGGCCCCCTCCACTGAATCAGAATGTCCAAAGGAGGGCCTAGGCATTTGTTTCTATAACAACCCCCCTCACCATTTTAATCAACAGGTAAGTCTGGGGAATGTTGTGCTATGCTATAGGGTCAAAACCCTGTTTTAAAAAACATAAGCTCCAAATGGATTAGGCTTGTTTTTTCCCTTTCAGTTCTCAGAGATCAAAGAATATGTATCCAAACCAAATGACGCACAAATAGTGCAATTTTAATCTGAACTATGTGACGTGCAATGGCCCCTGGGGGTACAGGGAAGGAGCAAGGCTGGACAGGAGCCTCATCCCACCACTTTCAAGCCATGTGACCTTACATCTAATCTACAAAATGCAGAAACAAAATAGAATAACGTAAGCAAAAGTATTTAGGTAAAATGTAAAGACTTTACAATTGAAAGGAGCTCATCTGTTTTACGCTACTCAAGGAACATAAAGATTATCGTGACAGTGTTTTAACAAAGCTTTCTAATCAAACACTGCAGTCTCTAGTCCTCACTATATAATGATTTATTCTTTCATTTATTGGGTCTGTTCAACATGCCAGGCACAGTTCTGGACACTAGAGATATGGCATGGATGGTCAGGCTCAAGCGGTGTTTACCTTCATAGAGGAAGCCACAGAGTAAACCACTGAACACAGTAATGACAGACTGAATAGAAAAGGGAAGGAACAGAACAATGGGACAGCGAGCGAGTGGCTGGAGCTAGGGAAGGCCTCCCTGAGGAGGTGACATCTCAACCAAACCTAAGGGTGAAAAGGAGTCCATCCTGTGGTGAGCCAAAAGAATATTCCAGGCAGGTGGAACAGCAGTGCAAAGTCCTGGGGTAGGAAAGCACTCCAAAGAACAGGCAGAAGGCCAACAAAGCACAAGGTGAGCCTTGGGAGAGACTGCGTGGGGCCTTATAGATCACGTTCAAGTCTAGATTTTACTCCAAGTGTGGTGAAAAGTCCTTGGAAGTTTGAAGCAAGGAAGTGACTTGATCTGAGTTTTAAGCCTTACTCTGACTTCCAAGGACAGAACAAACTCTAAGAGGACAAGAATGATAGTAGGAGACCAGTTCCGAGGCTTCTGCAGTGGTCCATGTATGCTGGTGGCTTGAACCAGGTAGTAGCAGGAGGTGGGAGAGATGGCAATGAAAGGAATCAGAGTAGAGCTAACAGGACTTGCCGGTGGGTTGGATGTGACTACAAGAGAAAGAGGAGTCGGCTCAGTCTGGCAGCATCTCTCCTGATACCCCAGCTCCCGGAGCTTGAAGACAAGAGATTTTAGGCATCCTGGTTGCTGGATTCTAGGGCCTACCCCAGAGACTCATTCTGTGCTTTCTAGACAGTGGGACTCCACCCAGGCTCACTTAGGAGATGAATTAAAAGGGAAGGTGGCTGAGAAACACTCTCTGTCACACATGACCTAAGATGAAGAGCTCTGAAAGAAGATGGAAAAATGTCTTGCTAAATAAAACTTTGCAGGAAGGAGAGTAGAAATAGCTCTTTACAAATGGGGCCACTTAGTTTTTCTTGAATGAGCTCACTTTTGTCCAGCTTTCATCCCTCCCCCTAGACCTGGGGCTGAGGGATAAGGGGGGCCTGGGACAGACAGCCTGAGAGAAGGGGATAGGGAGGAGCAGCAGGGGAGGGGAGAGTGGGATGGAGATGTGCTGGGCTCTGGGAAATGCAAGAGGAGTGCCTGGACTATTCTCATCACCTTTGCCTTTCTTTGTGTCTGTGTCTAGGAGTGACCATGCAAGCCCTTTCCACAGTTCCTGTCATGTTTAGTTACTGGGTGAGTGTGAAAATTCAAACCGTCTCCTTGGTGAGCGAAGGCTCACGTCTAGCTCAGTAGCGAGTAGACAGATGCCTCAAGTCTTGACACTGCCCCCCAACTCTCCTCCCCTTTAGGAATCACCAGGGACCCCCAGCTTCTCATACTGCAGTGTCCCCTTCCAGGCCTTCCTCCTAGTCATGTCCTTGCTCTAGACCCACATGGTCCAGAACGGTAGCCAGGAGCCACATGTCAACATGTGTCTCACATTACATTTCCATTGAACAGGGCAGTTCTAGACTCAACCTGAATTCCATCAGAATTTACCTGTCTCATGCCTCATTCCTGCAGTGCCTTGCTCAGTCATTGACAAGCCACTGACAAGTTTATTCTGAGATGATAATGACTGGAGAATGAGAACAATAATAAAGGCCTAATATGTTGCCTCTCTGGGAGAAATACACAATTCAAAATGGGATTCCTGCAGTAGGATGACTCTCCCTGAGAAATTAAGTCTCAAGGGCTGAGTTTCAGGCATGATCACAGCCTGTGGGAGGTCATTTTTGTACATAGCTAGGGATGCACTAAGCATCTACTCAACCAAGTGAATATTCATTTGTGTTGTGATTTAAAGAGCAATGGAAATATCACCTGCTCACACAGACTTTCCCCACCCATGCTCATATTCCAGTATTAGTGTTTCAGTCTTTATCTGTTCCTGGGATTAGACTCATTTTTTATTTTGTTTTGTTTTTTATTTTTGAGAGAGAGAGTGCAAGGGGGGGCAGGGGGAGAGGGAGAAAGAATCCCAAGCAGACTCCCCACTGAGTGCAGAGGCCAACGAGGGGCTCCAACCCACGACCCTGAGATCATGACCTGAGCTGAAATCAAGAGTTGGGCGCTTAACCAACTGAGCCACCCAGGCACCTCTAGACTCATTTTTTTAAAATAAAAATGCTCTAAGATTTCAGTATGCACAGATTTATCAGAGTGTCTACTATTTTGACTGAACAACTGGAATTTCAGGAGAATACCAAACGCCTGCCAGTGGGGTGGGGTGAAGTTAGAAGGAAAGAAAACAGTAAAGAAGGGAGAGTTAAGGAACAGAAAGCAAACCATCACATCAGCATTTTGCTAAGGTAACTCTTGAGTGTCACTGCCAACAGGAAGGACAGGGAGGAACACAGACAGGGACAGGAGGGGTCCGTGAGCAGCCTGCCATCCCATGAGGAGGCATGACAAGGAGGAGTGTGGCCGGTGATGTGGGACACTCATCAGGCCCGGCTCCAGCGTGGGGGAGTGCCTTGTCGCCCGCTGTGTGCCCTGGGGTGGGCGGGAGGGCATGGCCCGTTCTCGTTCCATCTCTTCTATAGGATGACCGGCCCAGTAATTGTGTCCATCCCTTCTGATTATAACTTCCATTTTTCTAATTAATCGGCAATATACTAGCAGTTTCCTTTACTTCTGCAGTGATTGGCTTTGGGTCTCCTGCAGCCAGTGCCTATTTCAATCTGTGCCCCAGCTGGCTGAAGAGTAAAAGCCATGGACAGTGACAAATGATTCAGCTCAGGAAAGGTGTTGTTCAGAGTAAATATGTAAAGAAGTAGGTTGTGAATGATATGATCTTCCCTTACCTGTCTCCACCAGGCCAAACCTCAGGACACTTTAGACCTGTGCCAGCTTTTAAACAATGACTTGGCTGCCACTGTTGCAAACCACCCCAGGAGGTTTGTGGGTCTGGGGACGTTGCCCATGCAGGCCCCCGAGCTTGCCATGAAGGAGATGGAGCGCTGCGTGAAGGAGCTGGGCTTTCCCGGGGTCCAGATTGGCTCCCACATCAATGAGTGGGATCTGAATGCGCCGGAACTCTTCCCTGTCTACGCAGTGAGTACGCAGCGATCCCTCAGCCAGCATGCGGCGGGCCAGGCGCTGCGCTGGGTGCAGGAGGGCAGAACATGAATGCACCACCTCCCTGGCAGGGGGAAAGAAAGATGCCTGATGACATGCTGCATATAGCAGGAAATATGTAAAGAGTTCTCCAAGAGGGCCATTCCACTAGAAGAGGGACAGGTGGAAATGCTTCACAAGTCAGCCCCGAGTAAGCTCAGGGAAATCTCTCTTACCTTCCATCCCCCATGCTCTCTTTCTACTGTTTCATTTGGAAGCTGAAATAGTACCCTCATTACAGCCCTGGTACAAAAGGCCATGTTAGTGACATGCAAAAAAAAAAAAAAGTATTTATTTTGCTTTAGAAAAAAATACTTATCTTTTAAAATTATGAAATTTGTTTCCAGATGCCTGAGTGGCTCAATCCATTAAGTGCCTGCCTTCAGCTCAGGTCATGATCCCAGGATCCTGGGATGGAGTCCCCCATCAGGCTTGGGCAGGGAGTCTGCCTGCTCAGCAGGGAGTCTGCCTCTCCCTCTCCATTTGCTTCTCCCCTCTCTCTCGTTCTCATCCTCTCTCTCACTCTCTCTCTCTCAAATGAACAAATGAAATCTTTTTAAAAAAATTATCAAGTCATTTTGAAGAAATTCTGGAAAACACAGAAAAGCATAAAGAGGAAAACAAAAATAACTCATAATCCCACTACCCAAAGATAAATAATCACTGTTACTATATGTTTTGTTTGATTTTTTTGTTTGCATATTTCTGCATATATCTATATTTTAATGAAATCTGAATTCTATTATACATGTGATTTTGTATCCTAGTGAAGACTTTCCAATCTAAATGAAAATTCTCTTAATGCATGATTTTTAAATAAATGCATATATCCTAATATATGGATATGTTTTGATTCATTTAACCAGTCCTCAATTAATATACTCTTTCCCCATATATTTTGAAAATGTATAATTAAAACACATAACAAAAACAGTGCCATCAAAATGCTAACATTTGATGAAACTAGCTGGTGAGTATATGGAAGTTCATGGTACTATTGTTTACAACTTTCTACATTTGAAATATTGCATTATAGGGCGCCTGGGTGGCTCAGTTGGTTAAGCGACTGCCTTCGGCTCAGGTCATGATCCTGGAGTCCCTGGATCGAGTCCCGCATCGGGCTCCCTGCTC